AATATGAAATTATTTAGAACTTTATAAATTACTCACCAAGTCACCATACTTATTCATCTTTAGTTTATACGAAACCTTTTTCATTTCGTAATTCCCATTATGTTTAGCTATTTTATGTTTATTGTCCATAAATATCTTCATTCTAAATCTCTCCTCAACATCATTTTTATATATTTTATTATGTTCCATCTAAAAATTAATAATACAATAAAATATTTGTCTTTATTTTATAATTTATAACTACTATGTTATGTTATTGTTAATATATATTTGTATGGAATATTAACAAATACTATTATTAAATGAACGAACGATTCTAAATAAACAAATTCTTTATCTGCATATGATTGGTAAAGACCCATATGGTACAACATATAATGTCTACATGCGTGATGCAACTGATTTAAAGACACGAATTTTTAATATACCACAAAAGACAATTAAAATATATTACAAAATTGTCCTATTATTAGTCTTTTTTAGAAACAATAGATTTAATTACCTTAAATGTTGTCCATTCTTGATTAACCAATTCAAAAAAGGACACAGCCTGCGCCGTAGCAAATATTGTTGCAATTAAAAGCAAAAATGTTTTCATGATTTTAAAATTATATCTGAAAACATACATATACATATGGTATACTTGTAAATTAATTTCTTAGTAATATATTATCTTCTATGCAGTTCACTCGTTGACTATTCTCGAATTTTTGTCCCAGAAAAACGTTCATTCCTATATATATCATTCTATTATGTTGGTCATTAATTACTTATTATCAAAAAATGATAAAATTAGATAAAGAAGGCGTGATTATCTTGACAGGAAATGACTAATTCATGTAAATGTAATAAATTTACATTTTTAATCAAAAGAATTAATAGCATATGTATAAGTAAAATAAATGACTACGTTTCATTAAAATTTTATGTTTGTAACGAATAATACTATTAGTGCAAACAAACTTGGAATATTGTTATCACCGAAAATAAGTTGACACTAAAATATTTTTTGCATGGCAAAAATTGTTCACATGTTTCAATATTTAGTGATTTATCATGTATGAAGAGTATTGATAAAATGCAGCATGAAATGAACTCTAAATATAACTGGAACAACACTGATTGATGTCAAAAATACCAAACGACACTCATTAATATCAAAAGTGGAAAAATATGGAAGAATGAACCAAATGTCTAATATTTCAGTTTGATAAGAGAGCGAACAAAACGCAGAATCCAAATTTTCGAATCTAGATTTCTTTTTAGAATCTAGATTTAAAATAACACAAGTGTATATTGATTCAATTTTATAAAAAAAACCTATCTATCTTGTCGCAGCCTGCGCGATTTCTGAACGTGAATATTATGATTGAATATTTGGAAACAATTCGTTTAAGCATACATGTACACATTACATACATACATAAAAACAACATGAAGGTACACATGAATCAAAACATTTATACTATTGTACAAGAGACAAAAAAATTTGAAATAAAGGAACATTTAAAATCTTCATATTATTATCTAATAGTTACTTTTATATTATTATTATTATTATAGTATTACCTTTATATTATTATCTAATAATATGATAGAAGTAACAGACAACGAAAAGAAATTTGACTATGGTTAAACATCATTTGATGTGTATATATTAACTGAAATAAATATTCATTAGACGGTGAATGTATATTAGGTGCGGAATAATTATTCCCTATTATAAAAAAACTTTACAGCACTGTAACGAGTCGCATATTCCGAGTTCGTAACTTAACAGTATTATTCGTTATAAATACAAAATCGTACATGAAACATAAGCGTATATTGAAAAATCAAAGGCGACACACGCGAGCTCTCTTCTGACTGCATTATTTAATTCAATTAATTAATACGGAATGACGACAGTAAAAAAAAAATTTCGAAACGTGTAAAAACGAATACTTCCTTCGTGATTTTGAAAAAATACATGATTATATCGTTGCTTGATATATCTTCACGATAGACATACACAAATTTTTATTACGCACAAAACTTTACGTTACGTGTGTGACGTATCAACAAAGAAATAATCGCATGGCAGTCTTCAAATATAATTCCGTGCAACAGAATCGTATGTATATCAAAAAACATATAATTAATATTTATCGACGTTAAACATTTATATCGATGATGACAAATATCAACAAGTGTAAATTATGAAGACAACAAAGAACACAAAGAAGTGGCCCCTCTCTATGGTCATTTTCCCATAGAGGCATGTGTAAATGTGTTCCATAATTTATTGTACTTGGATTAAAATGAAACGTTTGCCAAGAATAAAGAAAGACATTTTCAGAAAGAAGAAACCACTATAATAAAATGAAGATCAAATACTATTGTATAATATCGGTATTGTCGTGTAATTGCTGGAAAGTATTTGCGTGTAATTAATAAATCAAGTGTTGTTAGTATCATAAACAAACAAATTTCAAATGTTTTACCAAGAATAATTCAACAACCGACAGGACTCGTAGCACAACACTAAATAATCACGATGTAACAACCGTTATTCCAGATATAAAGCGCTCTCTCTTCTCTATATTCTATAGATTCCTACTGCGTGAGTCAATGCTAGTCAGCTTTTGTTGTGTGCGACAGCGTCTCTTAATTTCCGTGTCCATTATGATATCTAATGATTCATTAAAAAAATAAGAATATTATTAGGCTCACACACACATATGGGATTTAAAATCTGATATTAACAAAATCGTCATATTAAAATGTAATAAAAACAAAATTATCAGCTTCTGGCGTTATTTCATACATATCAAATTTATGTTTCAAATCCTTTATATTGTCTTTTGAAGATTTTGTCGAATTCTGAATATCAATGTTGATGATGATAAATATTTTTAACGATGGGTTTGATATAATTAATATTAATAAAATTTCAATTCATTTGGAAATACTGCAATATAGGGTATAAAAATAACATAATCTTTATCACTCACGTGCATTTATCTCTAATATTTTATATAAAACGATTTAAATACGCATCCATTACGCATTGCAATTGTCATGTGACTCTGATAAATGTTTAGCAATATCAACCAACATTTCAAACACATGTGTCTACATGTGAGTGATGCATTTTATCACAGGCAATGCTTACACATTCTTCAAATTGCGTCTTAATCATCTAACTTTGTAATCTGTTGGCATTACTTAAATTTTCTTCTATTTCATTAGTTGCTTTAATCACTATCATTAATCAAATATTTTTGTATTCGTGCATTTAATCGATTTAAATCGAAATCCAAAAATTGAAACTTCTATTTTGAAATACATAGCCCTTGCCAAATTTTATCAAAAAAGTATGTATCTCAAAATTACGTGGTATTTTTATTTGCTAATAAATAAATGATGAAATGGCAAAGGCTTATCAAAGCAAAACGTACAGTTCAGTCAAACTCTAAATTTCTAAACTAGATAAATCAAAAATTTATCAATGCGAAATGTAGAGCTCGGTCATTTTGATAATGCAGGTTCCACGTATCTATCAATAGTATGGTCTATGCCAATGTAACAGATTACATACATATAAATATCATTTTTGCGAATTAAGCATACGTATTTCTTCTGAACTGTGCAAATTTTGTACTGGAAAAAATGTGTGCACAGAAAATAGAATCATTCGATGTATCTGCAAAACAACGAGAAATATTACAATTTAAACACTTGAGGAAAATTCAATTACGTCAACAGTATTTGAAAGAAGTTCTCAACCCAACGGTACAAACAATGCCCGTGTGTATCGATGATTTTTTAACTTTACTTATATATGATTTCGATGATTATTTGCGTTATGTAACGAAATACAATTTATTTAAAATCATATTTAATTGTACCTAGTTATCTTACGTAGTCATTAATTTAAGTATGAAATAGCCATACAACTTTGTATGAAGAATAAAATTATGTAAGGATGTTGTATTCGTATAATTAATACAAAAATATGTCACCAAACACTAGTAATATTAATATTAATTTTCATGAAATCTCAAATGACTATATAACATTTGTAATAAACATACAATTTAATCAATTATTACTTAATCACAATATATACAGATAGATGATGCAACTCAACGATTAGCTCTATTGAGAGCTCAACATGAATTTGTTGGGCAAACAAAATTTTGGCCACATATGGTGCTTGGTATTGCATATATTGGAACCATATTTTTATGTGGGAGACTTCTCAAGTACCTTAAGGTATATGTTGATAACAAATAGATTGAAAATGTTTGTTAAACACATGCACTATGAAAATAAATTCTTTTTATTTTGCAGGACAAGGAAGAACATGTCTATCGCACTGGTCAATTAAGTTATCATGATAGAGAATTTAAATTTTCATAACATTTTTTTTTTACAATAGTTTATAAATGTTGAGTTTGTAATGTATATATCAATGCATGTACTGTAATATAATAAAATAATTGCTCCGCAAATAAAAATAAAATGGTAGTGTATTATTTACTGATATATAACTCAATTCTTACATATGATTCTATTTGATTGAAGAAAAGAAAATCATCGTTGAAATGGAAATTTTGTAAAAATAGTTTTAAAAAATCAAGGAATTTTCTCACATTTTTAATATAAAGATATTGATTCTTTACTTATAAATGAATACAGAATTTTATTTTAATATTTAATAACTCTTTTCTATATCTTCGATTATCGATCTTCTAATTGTTTGTCACGAGCAACAACTGCGTCATCAAATTTAACCATGTATGTTGTACCTTTATGCCAATGTGCAGTGACTTTTGCTTGCTGTAAATACAAATATTTCTTGTTAGCTTATTATCTAAATATTTAAATTATTTAGAAATAATGACAGAAATTAATACTTACAAAACCACAATCACAAAGAATAGCTTCAACTATACCAGCAATAAAAGAAGCACAGTTCAGACTTCCTTTATCTTTTGGAACTGATATAAATTTATTTACTAACGCTTCTTTTTCTATGATATAGTATGTGCGCTCATCATCATTTGCATGTTCTAACTTATCAGCTTCACGACCAAACAATGATTTCCATACTGTACTTTTAATAAATAATAAAATATTTAACAATTTTATCTCACGTTTTCCACCCTTCTCTCGTACAACGAGTAAATCCGTTATTTTGTGTCCAACCTCAGTTCCTATTTCTGCCAATCTATGAATAGATAATATTTATTGTGTATAACAACTGTTTAACAAGTTTGCGTATTTACGTACTTATTTTGTAATTCTGGTACGGTGTAAACACGATTTTGACAGTATTGTACAAGTTCTGAAAACAAAAGTGCGAAACAACTCAAGCTAACCTCTCCCTTTCCCTTACTTAATGATTTATCAAGTATGCTAGTTCGTGTCCGAACAGCTGATATTGTAATACTGGTCATCTCGATAAAATAATTAATAGTTAAAATAATATTTTGCTTTTTATAAACATCAACAGATTCAACAAGATAATCGAGTTAATTTCAACACTGACTTTTGTCTCATGGGTTTGCCATCTGGTGATAATAAGTAGAACTATTTACCTAACTATTTAACTAACCAAGAAGATTAATCAAACGTAAATATATTGCTTTATTATTCAGTTTAAAAAAAAAGAACAATATTACCTGTCACCATAATTTCTTATAACTGCGTATTTCATATTAGGAGATCAATATTTCAAATCCTCTACCGTATACACATACAACTGATTCATCCCTAAAACCATTTAACTTTAATACTAATAGCTAAACATTAATCCATTGGAATATAATAAAATTTGTGAAAAATCATTGAAGAATATAAAACGTGATATATACTTTGAATTATACCACGAGGTTAAGCCTTTTACATCTGTTACAAATGTAGAGATTTTCTTCAAAAATGTTACAGATAAGATACTGTTGTTAAAATCATAACAGTACATGTTTACTCGTTGATCCACTCCAACACTAAAAATTGTATTTTTTTCACGAAATATTATTCCTGAAAATTTTCAAGTCAAATTCTTTTGTTAATAGAATATTTATATTCATATTTTATCTTATCTCATTTCTTGTTATATACCATAATATACTATGATAACATTATCATACAATATCAAATATCATGTAAAGACATGTACTGATTAGAAATGGTAAACATACCTGTAATTTGAGCAGCATGGGCAGTGGAAGAACTCCACTTTGATAACAATGAAATATATAATTCTTTCTTTCTACTTTGTACTTTCTTTGTACTTTGAAACTGAACTTTGAAGCAAATAATGTTAAATAAATTATCATCACCACCAGTTGCTAATAAATATTCGTTCTTTTCAATCATTTTTATGTCATACGAATTAATTCCAGATTGATGTAAATTAAACTTTACAATGAATAAATTTTTATAATTGTAAAATTCTTGTTCTTCATTTTGCGGAAATATTATAATCTTTGAAATAATATTAGTAAAGTCAATAAATCGTCCGATTCCATCAGTGGACATCGTTAATACAATTACTTTTTCATTATATGTTAAAACGGTTATTTTTGTTATGCAACGATCAACACATTTTACATGTGCTTTTAATGAAATATTTCTCGTACTAATATCATATAAAAATACTCTGCAAACGATATTTAAATAAATTAAAAATAAGACTTACAAATAATATTTAAATAAATATTTTAATAGAAAAATATCTTAATTTCCAAAAATTCATTTTAAGTTATAAAAATAAAAATTATATATTTCTCTAGGAATATTATGTTTAATTTGAGATTGTATTTCTGTGAATATTCATATGCATAAACAATACATAACGGTTTGATATAAAATACTATACTGTAAATTTAAAAATATTAAAGGAAAAATATACCTTACAAATCCATCTGCACAAGCAACAAAGAGCAATATGTAATGGAAATTTGTTGGGCAACGATAAACCTCAATATCCATATATCGACTCTCAGGTTCCATATTATAGAAGTGATTAGATTCTTGCCATTGCTTTTTACGAAAACGATCAAATCCGTACAACATGTGAGATGTAATGTCATGGCAAGAAATATCCGTATTTTGCAAATATATTTCACTACTTTTTATATCAATTTCCCAAACTTTTATTTGTGCTCTTCCACCCCCCGAAAAAATGAGATATTTATTGTAAAAATCGTTAGTTTGTAAACTTAAGTAAGTTATAAATTTGATACTGGAAATATGACCATCAAAAATATTCAACGTTTGAAAGAAGAAATTGCTATTCATCGTTGTACTTGAGATACAGCTAATGCGAACGGTGCTATCTTCACCACCAGATATAAAAATATTATTCTGACCAATTTTTGATATCGGATTGATGCAACATATTTCCTTTGTATGAAAACCGTTCTAAACATTTAAAAGCATATATGATTTTATATTGAATTTTGTGAAATAATATAGTATAGTATCTTCAATATGAAAAAATTACTCACTAATAAAACTGGCGACGTGAAAGAATATAATGGAAAATCAGATACATACACTTGCTTATTACGAATATATAAAAACGTAATAAATTCATTTTGTAACATACAATCCCATGATCTATGTCCACCACCACAAGGAACTCTCATCAAAATTCGATGATGGAACATGCTATATATTATAAATTCTACCTATAAATAATAACAAAGAAAAGTAAAAAAAAGTTTAAACATGATGTGTATGTATATAATATCTGTTTAAATACGCATGTATGTATATAACATCTGCTTAAATACACATGTTCATACCTCTTTAAAGCCTAATATAAAAATATCATCAGAGGATTTTAGATAGCCACTAATCCAATCCATTGGCACTTTTTGTTTATGTAAAGTGCACAATAACTTTGTGTTTTCATGTTTATTTAACTCATAAAACTTTAACATTCCATCACGACCAGCTGATATTAATTTTGAATTAAAAACTATGAAACTCTGAATACCAATCTTTCCATGAACTTTGACAAAAGTTTGGATGCATTTATTATTCGTTTCAGATATGTTCGCTCCATTATATGAGACAGGTTTTTCAAGATCAAAAACATGCATATTTCCAACTCTATCCCCACACACTAGTAATGTTTCATATAAAACAGCTGCGGTCAACCAACGTTCTCGACTATATGGTAACAAACATACCGATTCTACAGTGATTAATCCTGTAGGAAATAAGAATATTAAAATTAAAAGAAATTAAAATGTTACTAAAAGATAAAAAGTTACTCTGCATTTTTTTTAAATATACCTTCTTCAGTGACACTGACTATCTTTAAAATTCCATTTATCCCACAAATTACTAATTTATTATTTTCTAGCCATTGTACAGAAAAAATTTGTGAATCCATTATCTTTTCTTCTATAATTTGTTGTAATTCTTTATTAGGTGCTACTTCTAAAATCATTATGTATAATAATTAATGTAATAATTTAATAATTAATGTAATTTTTCCAATATTTAGCAGTCATTATTTTACCTTTATATATTGTTACATATCCATCTCTTGATGCAAAACAAACATAGGAGCGGCATAAAGAAACTTCCATAACACAGTATGTACTATATTTTTCTAAATACAATGACCCTAGTAGACTTCTATAACAATTATTAAATATAAACAAAGTGCCATTTTCGTTAAAAATTAGAAAATTACCACTTCTTAAGCAACACACATATTTTGGCAATGTGTATATATGTGCTTTTGGTAATAGTATAACTTTTTGGATATAATTATTAACAAAAGGCCATGCATGAACTGCACCATCAGCACCACCAGTGAAAATAGTTTTATTATCGTCTGATATATCAATACTCCATATAGCAGCACCATGGTGAGCACAAACTTTGTTAAGTAATTTACCATCCAATGACCAGGTGCATATAAGAGAGTCCTTAAATCATATACATGAAAATAAATTATCTTCATTACAAACTTTTTATTATATATACATAGTAATATATTGCACCTCTCCTATGGTAATTAAAATTTCGTTTCTAATGATAGATTTCCAGACTCTAGCTGTATGACCAAACATTGTTCGCATTAGTCTTATATTGACTTCTCTCCAATTTATTTTTTCTAATTTTTCTTCTAATGTATGATCACTATCTTCACTTTTATTGTTACTTATTTTCCACAATCTGACTGTTCTGTCATCTGATGTAGAACAGATAAGTTGTGCAAGTGGATCATATATGACTGAAAAGATCACACCCTAGAATTAAGTTTATTTGTATTTTTAAATTTGAACATAATGGATAAAAAATCATTGCTTTAGGTAATATGTTACAAACATTATGTCCTTGTAAACGATGTAAAACTGGAAAAGTATTATCATGATGAGCATAATTTATTTGCCATATCAATATTTCTTGATATACAGTTCCACTAAAAATAATTACATCTTCATCACTGTTGTCTAATATAGAACCAGCATATCTAATAATGAAGTTAAGTTTGATGTTCAAACATGGTGTTTAAATATCTAAATATAAGGATACAAAATGCATTTTTCTTCACATGATACACTTTGATAACATTCACTAAATATGTCATAAATACAAACATTGTTGTGTGCTAAAAGAACACATAAATAATTATATTCATCAAATGCCACCCATTTTGCTGATACTATCCAATCATTAAGTCTTTTTTTACTAGAATCTTCTTCAATTCTGAAACAAAAATATTTCAATGTAAATATGTAAATAAATGAATAAAGTATTTAATATAAATATACATATAATACTCAGACATACATCAATGTTCCTTGTTTAAAACGAATCTTATATGTACAAAAAAGATTTCTACCAAACACTGTTAATTTATTAGCAGGACCTTCAATAATTCCATGTATGTTGTAGGGATAAAGACAGTTTATTTTTTTTTCCAACTTGTATGTGTTACTATTGAAGATATATAATACACATCCCATACCTGTGTAAACAATAACACGGTATAAGGAAATTATAAAAATTAAAAAGTGAAATTAAATATTGTTCAAATGAAGAATTGAATTTATTTAACTACAATTCTTATCTGTCGTAAAAATTGCATACATATATATTACACTAACCTACAAAAATTAAATTATCAATACAGCGAATGGCAAGTACATCGGTACACAGAAATTTCGAAAACATTTTCGGTACATTAAATTCTACTATCAAATATTCTATCAAATAACTCTATATTAAAATTAAGTCCTACGTTAAATGATAAATTTACATATCCAAATGAAACACACGAAAAAGGAAATTCTACACTATTTGAACACGTGGTTATTTGACTCAACGTAATTTTAATGTACATGCTAGCAATGGTTTTTCCCGATATGATTTAAAATTATTCTGGACAAGGAATTAGAAAAGTACATTCCTTAAATGTCAACTTTATTCGAAATAATTATGTATACTTCGTGAACTATTCAAAATTTTAATCTAAAGTATTTCTTGTTTTCCATCACTTGACTGTTTTGAAACATTTACTGAACAGTCTACATGTATATTTGCTATTTGATTAGTGTGACTTCAAAATATTAAATATTTTTTCAGAAGACTAGAAAATAATGTACTATTTGAAACTTATACATTCTTATTGAAAAATACAACTCTAAATGGAAAGTTCAAATGATCATTAAGATAATCGCTATTTAACGAGAAGAGCGATAATGTGGGTGTTTGGTTATGGTTCACTGATATGGAAAGCAGATTTTCCATACGAAGAAATTCTCATTGGTCACATCAAAGGATATATCAGAAGATTTTACCAGAAAAGTATAGATCACAGAGGGATACCTAGCAGAGTACGTATCTAATAATTTCAATGTCAAATCATTTTAAATTTTTCATTTGAAACGTTTCTTATTATTTGTAATTATTACAATATTTTTATATAAACATTTTGCTAGAAAAGTGAGAATTAGTTTTCTTAAAAAAATGAAAATTAATTCTAATCAAAAATATTTTTGTAATTTTTGTTTTATGATTAGAATGTGATTACGTGGATATCTAAATGTAAATCATGTTATTAATCGTCAATAATTCACGTTATGTGTTAGCTTTCATTGTATCAAATTGTATAATGTGTAGTAATTATTGAGTATAAAAACAATATTGTTTTGTTGTAGCCTGGTCGTGTTGTAACATTGCTTAATTCTGATAATTCCAATGACCAAGTGTGGGGTGTTGCTTATAGAATATCACCTCAAAATATAGATAAAGTTGTAAGACACTTGGATTACAGGGAAAAAGGAGGTTATGAAAGAAAAAGCGTTCTCTTTTATCCATCTTATTCAATTAAAGATACTGCATCATATTTCTTAACAAATAACACTTTTTCAAGCGAAGTTAAAAATGAAAAATTGTTGTCGTCAGTTTCAGAAAACACACCATTTTATATTACAATTTACATAGGTGGAGAAGACAATCCAAATTACGCAGGTATAGAAGATATCTATACAATAGCAAAACAGATATCAGTGTCTCATGGTCCTAGTGGAGCAAACACAGAATATCTGTACAATTTGGCATCTGCGATGCGAGTAATAGCACCAGGTATAAATGATGAACATTTATATACACTTGAGACAATTGTGAAGATGTTGGAGCAAGAAAAAAATGTGAAAATAAAAGTAGATAAAAACTTGGATAAATGTGATGATGAGAATGGATAGAATATGTGCTTTTTTAATAAGTACATATCAGAGTTGAATAATGTAACCAAAAATTTGTACTTAAAACTTTGGAGAATAGGTAAATTATTTGTATTATCTGTGCAGTTAGACAAAATAAAGGAAAGTTTTACATAATATGAAACGTTATATCTTCTGATATGAAGTAATATATGTAATAATTAATAATAAGAAAATGTATAATAAAAAAGAAATGTTATTTTTTTTATAATATATTACTATACATTATCTTTGTTTAATTATTTATTAATCAGTTTGTACACAAGAGTAAATGGACATAAAGAACATTATTACAATAAAATGTATGAACTTGTACTTGAAAATTGTCTTTATTATTATATATACAAATATATATCATAGTTGCCGATGAAATAGTTCAACATATCGTGATATAAAGATACAAAATCAATTGAAAGATATATCTCTGAAATATTAATAATAATTTCAAGAATTTTTCATATATTAGATTATTTTGTATTACAAAAATTCAATTACAAAATTCATTACAAAATCACGTACTGATAATTTATGTATCTTGAAATTCCTAACTGTAATATTGGAATGTCGGAAATAAAAAATAATTATATAATAAATATATTTCATATCTTATTGAAATTTAAAATTTGTTACGTTGCAACAAAATTACAAACATTAAATGTAAGGTTATGAATTAAGGTTATACGTTTAGCATTCGATCTACAAGCATGAAACTCAATTCTAATTAAAGGTAATGAAAATTATTTTTAAGATAATCCTGATAAGGATAATACGTGAATGCAGCGGTACAGTATTCAAAATTTATTGTTTATGGAGGGACTATTTCTTATTACGCATGAGCGTGCGGTGACGCGTAATGATCAGCTGAAGGTTCATTACTACGCCATTTCTTATTGTTAGAATAACTGTCAAATGGAGTAGTTCGTTCGCGAATCTCTTTCCTGTCTGTATTGACAAATACGACAAAAAAAACCAAGATTGGGTGATCTATCGACGTAAAAGCGTTTCGGACGCATCCGGGTAAATTCATCTTTCCGTTTTTTGAATATCGTCGTTCTGTACAGAGTGTTTACAAATATGTTCAAAACGTCTAAACTAAAACAAAATGGTCGTAACAAGAACGTAGAGAATGCAGAATGAATGTATTCCTAATTATTTGACTATTTCTGAACTTATTTCTTCGTATAAGAACGATAATATTAATTAAGTATAGATTAATTAAAATGGCAATGATACCAATTGAAACTTTATATATAATAAGATATTAAAATTTTAATCTTTTCTTTCTGTGAATTAAACAGTGTGTAAAAATGGATTATATGTATTGTTTTTTGTGTCATACTCTAGTGACAAAGAAAATGAAGATTTCTACGCAATGTATAATATTTAATATCGAAATATAACAAATTTTATAAGTACTTGTTAAATATAGCAAAATGAATATATATATATATTCATTGTATTACATATACGTGTAAACATAAAATGAATATATATATGTAAACATACATACATACAAAATATAGAATATACTTTGTAGAATTACATTAAAAACATTTCAAAGTTCGTGTTCTTACAATTCAATCTTTACGATACAATAATTACTGTTAATACTCGCCATATACGTGTATAATAATTGTTTAAATAATTCAATGTTTTTATTTCAATAATTGTTAAAATTGACTTCGGTAAATTTGGGGTTTAGTATTAAAAGTTTTTTTTTTCGAAGAACTGAATTTTGTACGATGTGTCACGATTAACTTCGTTCAAATCCGTGCGCGCCCGTACTAGCTCGGATATTGCTCATCCGTGGCGATTCGCAAAGCAAATACGAATTAACAGTAACAGTATCGGTTAAGCACGCGTTTGTGTATGTTTGCTCTTCGCGGGACATCTCATGCTCTTACGTAAAGAAAAAAAAAAACAATATATATCTAAAGATCTTGGTGGTTCTGTAATAACACGCTGTTTAAAACAAATGACAGGTACATGCATTTATTTGCTATTGTACTTGTGAGAATTTATTGTAATAGTTTGTAAATAACGTTGTTAACAACGTTGAATCGTTCGATGACCTTACACGTACGTTTCTTGCCCTGAGTGATTTTATTAATTTTTCACAAAATTAGGAGGGATCAATTGTTTGCTTAAGTAACGTTTGTTACAATTTCTTTTTTTTTTATAGTTTTTCATCTCACGTAGAATGTAATTCAATAAAGACAATTACTTGTTCTTCGAGATGCTTTACAATTATTGTTTTATTATTGTTTATGTATATTATTACATTACAGGTATGTGATTTTAGTGTTTCAAAGTTGATACTTTTAAATTATTAGTTAATTGTTTACTTTTCTACGTTTCAAACATTTTTCATTACATTTTCAGGATTTTACTCGTTTTAACGTACTATTTAGTTGAAAAAAATTCATTTGCACGTTTTCAATTGTTTTTGATTTGATGCAAGTACCTGGTCAACGAGAAATTCAAATGAGAACTTCCATTCTTTTAATTTTGACAGTTTGTTGCATCAGCTAATACAGGTCAATACCTTCTTTTCTTATGTTTTTTTTTTTTTTTTTTTTCATTTTGATGATGTTTAACGCTGATACGATTTACATCATCGAATTGCCATACGATGTTTGTTTTTGGAAGAGAACAGAGACTCGAGAATATTCTCGAAAAATCATTTTGTAATAGTTTGTTGTTACGTCATTATTGAAATATTTTCTTTTATTTTATAAAATTTGTTAATTCTTTTTACTTATTTCTTATATTTGTAATTTTACAATCTTTGCATTTGTTTTAAAGTATTTTTACAATCTTTGTATCTTCTATACTTTCGTAACGTAAATCATTTTATTTCGGAAATGATGCTATTTATGAAGCAAGACACTATATTCTATAGTGAATTTAAAAAAAAAAGAGGAAAAAATGAAGCTAAAAGTAATAAATTTAGCCTCTTCGTAATAATATATTTGAACATTTTCACAGAAATATCGTCGCAGATATTTGCATGAATTTTTTGAATCAATATATTTTCAAAAAGTAACTACATACGCACATGAGAGAAAGAGATGGGAAATCGAAAGTGCTTGAAGTTATTTTGAATCATATGTAGACGTTTTATTAGTACATTCTTTGAAACTTTCAAGTTACTCTATTGATAGTGCGTGGACGTGAACTCGCGTATTTTAATCAAAATAAAGAAAAAGCAAGAGAGGAAATAGGACAGAGATTTTATAAATATTAATATTAAAGTAGTACAGTAACAATTGTTACGAAGAAGATATATTTTTCTTACAGTATATTAAAAAAAAAAAATGCTTTAATATTAAAAAACAAATCATTTATCACAAACCATTGTATAAAATCAGACCTCATAAAAATAAACGTATTTATTAGCTTTAACTTTAACATAATAGTCAATGATAAGTAATTTAGATCAAATTTTTGTTTAAACTATCCTTTTAATATAAATATTTTCTGTTTATAGATACAAGGCTAGCCAGCTGCGCCATTCTTGTTGTGTGACATTCATATCATCAGCTACACTACGCACACTTCATATTGTTTTTTTCTTTCTAATTATTGCTGTAGTGAGCTGTCAGTCACACATTGCAGGAATGGACACATCGGGCTTGCCTGTACCGGATGCAATCCACCCGCTACTTGAACAATTGCAAGAAGCTTTGGTTCTTGAAGTAAAATATCAACCCAACCTTCAGTTACCTAATATATCACAAGTTTGTATATAAATTGTGTGGAATAATTTTATATTTACAAAAGAAAATAATTTTATATTTACAAAAGAGAATTTATCCATACGAAACATTTCTTCTCCTTTCAGACTGATGAAATAACAATTGGAGCTCGTGATGGATCAGCCCATGTTTTAAGATGTTTGAAAGTATGGTATGATCTACCATCGGACGTATTTTTTGTTGCCATTAATTTAATGGATCGTTTTTTAACAAAAATGAAAGCAAGACCAAAACACATGGCTTGCATCAGTATATCTGCTTTTCATATAGCTGCTGTTCAGTTAGCACAGTCATTGGATGTTGATCACTTAGTCTCGATTTCTCAGTGCAAATGCACTGGCAGTGATCTTAAACGAATGTCAGAAGTAATACGGAATAAGTTAGAATGGGCACCTGGTACTCAACCTGTTACATCTTTAACTTTCCTTCGATTATTCAATGCAATGTTCCTTTCGATTGCATCACAACTAGGACTAGGAGAAATGTATACCAGTATTGTAACGGTATGTTTGTTTTTATTTACGTAAAAATAAAAGATTTTTTTTTGTATTCAAATAATAGTAATTAAATCGTTTTACTTTAGGAATCTGAACTTCTACTTAGATTAGAAATGGTTGCATGTGATGGTAATTGTGCAAGTTTGAAGCCATCGGAGATGGCACTTGTTCTACTCTGCACATATTTAAACGGTGCAGTGAACCGATTAGATAATAGTGCAGATGTTCCCATATCTACTGCTATTCCTAATTCCTCCACTACCAATACATCTGTAACATCAAGACATCAAATGCTTAGACTTTTGGATTTTGCTATAGAACTTCAAAAAATATGTAAGGTAATACTATAATAATCTGTGAATGTGAAACTTTCTGTATATATAGCGAATAAATCAATGAATGACCGGTATTTGTAGATTTCAGATACAAGCTTTTTTTCTACATATGAAGCTGTGGGTGCTATATTGAGCAAATACAATGCTCAAGAGCAAACTCCTCACAGACAAAGACTGATATGGAGATTATCTTCTCGTACAGCACGTCTTTTACGTCCAACTGACAAATTTACTTCTGTGTTACCTGTCATCGCCGAACATGCTCCGGTTCCTTCGCCGAGTAAAATCAGGTATAGTTTTTATCCACGTATCGATTATTATCAAATTTAAGAATTAAGCTGAATATGAATATTTATATTTGATTCTTAGTGATTTAAACAACATTTTTTATATTCTTTGTTTGTAGAAAAAATCGTAAATTTGGCCGACGTCATGGAAATAAGAGACGTTAAGTGGCAGTATCGAGGCCTTGAAGTGAGTTGTTTACACCATATCGTAAAGATTTTGATATTTAAAAAACGCAACAAGAAATATATTGCAATTATACATAATATTGGATTAATTTTCAAGGTCTTGGTCAGAAATTCAATATTTATTCAACATACCAAGTAGAAGAAGAAAGTATACTTGAGTTTGAAACAAAAAATTTTGTTAAAAGTTAAATAGAAAGTACAAATATCAATGTATTTACGTCGAATAGCAAAAGTTTGTGATATTTCTTTTTGTGTCATGTGTTGAAAAAATTTTGCTTGAAAAGCAGAAAAAAGATATTTGGATATTGTATCTAATTCGTACTAAAGCTTGGTTTTTCGTAAATGAAATGTATTGAAACACATGTATATGTATATATGTGTATATATATATATACATATATATTTATATTATATTTATATTTATATATTTATTTATATGTATATATATATATGTATATATATATTTATATTTATATTAAATTGTTTAACCTTTTGTACTCAAGTAGTGTTTTTAATATTTTTCTTCGTGTATCTTTTTCATTGGATATTATTTTAATGTTAACATTTAATTATCAAATTTTATTTGTTAATTGTCTACTGACAAAAAAAAAAGATTAGATTACAATTAAAAGTGATATATATATATACATTTTTTTTTTACTTGTATCATACATTTTATAAAATGAACGAGAAATTTCGTTCTCAAGTTTATCAGTTATTACTATTGTATAAAATACACGAGTGCCGCAAGGAAAAAAGAAAGAAATAAGAATTGAATGAACAAGTCGTGTAGTAGTAAGATTAATGTGATATAATGTCCGCTGTAATTTATATACTATGAATAGAATACATACGTACGTACGTTTGTAAAACGTTAAATATGAGTATAAATATGAAATTAAAAAATTATTTTAAAGAAGCAAATTATAGGAAAATGAATAAAATTATTTAGGATCAAAATGTTTAATAAATTTTAATGCTGAAAATTGTACAAAATTTAAATTACTATTTAATGTTTTGTTGTGAAATTATACTTATTTGTTATTTAAGGAGCACATGAATGAATGTAATAACGAATTTTTATTAAATGAGTTTACAGTATCATCGTGGAGAAAAATGTAACTGTGCATTTATATTAAATGGTATGTACTACACTTTTTGTACTAAAATTGTGTTTCTAAGATTATTTTTCACGTATCTTTTTCAATAGATATTATTTCAGTATTAATATCTAATTATCAAATCTTATTTATCAATTGTCTATTGATAAAAAAATTAACTACAATACAAGAGGGCAATCAATACCTTCGATAAAGATTATACCTAATTTAAAAATTAAACGATGTTTTTATATAAAATTCTTATACAGTATTTCAAAAATACAATGTATGTGTATATATATATATATATATGTTAAGGAATAAATACAATTAAGAGCACAAAAGGTTAGTAACAACCTCGAAAGCTTTGAGCAAACATTTAAAAAATTAATAGAAACAGCATTAGCTGTGAAAGTATAATTAATTTAATTTAAGATACATAGTATTATGAATTAAAAATAAGTACATTTTAAACACCACAATTTGTGATAGAATTTTTTACTGATGTAGCTTTTAATCGTGGCGGATTTCTGAAAGCCAACGAAATAGTTTTAAGCATTAAAGAATTAAATTTTTTGTCTATAATAATTCACTGTTCTTTTACATTTTGTAACACTCACATGGCATTAAGCGACAAATAGAAAATAATAAAACTTCAAATGATGTCAATAATTTATATTAAATAATGTTTCATTTATGTTCTTACTGAACCCATCTTATACTTAATTATATATATTACTTAGAATACAATCTAACTTACAACATCAATATTGTGAGTTAACATTATTGGAGATGACAGCTTAATTTTTACTGCACATTATACATATATATTTATTTACATTCTCAAGCAATTTGTACTATAGCAATATTTGTACAAGTAATATTTATATGTCCCTTACCTTCTAATTTTAATTTTGTTAAAATATTTACATTTCAAAATGTATAAATCAAATTAATTTATGATTTTTTGATTCGTCAGTAAAAATTCAAAATGATAAACACAAAAAATAGTCATTACTTGAAGACAATGCCAAATTTAAAAATAATCGGAATTTTGAATAAGATTTTGAATAAGATTTAATGATGGCTGTGTTAGTCAGATTTTCATTTAAGATGAAATATTTACAGCAATTTTATTTTTGTTTCCCTATTCTTTTTGCCGCTATTTGTTTTCTTTCTTTTTTTATCGGTGTTAGTGCTAGTCCGCTCGGTAAAAAAGAACACGAATTTAGCGGCGTATGTCCATAACCTGAAACCACCGACGAGATATATGAATAGACCAAGCATCTTACGGGATTTCGTGGCCCGTGACCTGAAATACCAATATAATAAAAAATCACTAGATTTTTAGCACACTCTACGTTTAAACAACGGCGAGTTTGGGAACTAGTGAATGCGTCAGCGATTTTTGAGACCTATTACAGCGTTGTCAAACTTTCAATACCGAAATGTAAAGCTCGTCTGTGACTATACCAAGTAAAATGAAACAAGCTAAACGTTTAATTGTATCGCTAGATTTCAAAAGAGATTAGTATCTAAAATTATTCCATTATGTATTTATGCGTTTGTCAAAAAGAGCTCTATTCGTGTTTTACGAACTTATCGATTGGTTTTTCGTTGAAAACAATAAAATTATTA